GACAGAAGATCACAAACATGATGGACCCAGCAGACATCCCAGAGGAGTTAAGTGAGGAGCTTGAGAGGCTCCCGAGAGTCGCCTTTTCGCATCAGTGGGTCTATAGACTCAAAGACTGTGTCCATTGGCTTGACGGCTATGGGAGGGAGGGAACCACGCCTCCTGCAGTTTCTGCGACTTGTGAGGGTGTTGGACCTCCTGGTTCCCCTGAAACAGGGGCTCCATGCCCAGGGATTAGCTCAGGCCATAAGGACCTCCTGAGCCACGCAGTCTCCGATGCAGCAGCCACGTCAGCAACCCGGCAAGCCTCAGCGTTGGGGTCCAGAGCAGATTAAGATCGGCACCCTGAGGCTCCTCCCAGTGCGAGATTCACCAGCCTCACTTTTGCCTTCCAGCTCTCCAGTCATCATTGTGCCACAGCAGCGGGCCTGCTCTTCCTCGCCATGTTCAGATTATTATTCCCTATTGGGGAACGAACTATAGCTATGTCCAGTAGAGGTGGTTAACAATGGGAATGGGACTCCATGTAGTATGGCCAAATCTGCCGTATTTAAAGATTCTCTGGGGTCTGAGACAATTAAAAATAACATATTAATGTCTGTTAATGGGAGCAATAAGAAAATGTTAAATGTTTCTGAGCCAGTCACCGTTTCCTGCACCCCAAGATCAGCCATTTATAACACAGGGCTACAGTTGGCAGCAATAAGCAGTATTTAGTTTCTGACCAGTTATTGGAAAGATTCATGTACCTTGTTCATGAGCCAACCGTCCTTTGTTTATTCTAGCTTCCCCAGTTTAGTGTTCCACAGTCTGTTTTTCATTATTTTGGATTAGGTGTTTCAGTTCATGTTCCTGTTATCTGCCTTAATAATCAACATGCCCTCAGTTAAAGTGCAGTTTTGTCTCCTGTGGTCTGTGTTTGTGTCCTCTTAAAAGTGGCAGCCAATTCGCAGCAATAGTGCCTCAAGGAGCAAATTGTTCTGTGCATATCACTCTGCAACACTGGGTAATGTTTGGATGCTTAAACAAAGTATTCAGAACGGTTTGCCAACAGGTTTCTAAATGACAATAAACCTAAAATAAATGTGTGGTGTTATGTATGAGCAGAACTTTGTGCCATCAGAAACTGAATTTGAATAAGTTAAATTCAAATTTGAATTGCTCAAATTGAATCAAAGCTTCTAAAGCTGAATTTGAATAGGCCTAATTTGAAATCCAATGTATTGGTTTGAAAATGATCGTCACTAAATTTAAACTGAATTTTATATTTTGAAAATTAATTAATTCAATTTGAAATTGTATTCCATCATTATTTATATTTAGCTCTTGAATGCTTAAAGTTTCACTTCACACCATTCAACTTCAGTTCTACAATTCAATTTCAGTTCTTAACTTCAGTTTTTGGGGTTATGCATCCGGGTCCATCTTGAAAGCCGCAGAGTAATCGAGTGCCGGTTAATAGTGCTACGTTGTACCTGCGCACCCAGTGTTAGCGAGTGGACCTACAGCATCTTGAGGTGCACAGATTAAGTATTCAGAAGTCATTCGTCATGTCAAATGACCAGCGGATAAACTCTTAGGTTGGTAATAAATGTATTACCTGTATAAGAAAAAGCATCATGTAAACAAATAATAGCCTAACAGTAACTGTTATGCTTATTGTAGCTGTTAGCTAAAAATATGATCGATTGTTTCCAGTAGATTTCCAAAATTGTCATCTTGTACCCTCTCAGAGCCCCGTATGCTTGCAGAGACCCCTACAGTAGGGAAATATGCAAAAGAATGTCCAAACCTTTGTGTTTTAGCTTTATTTATGTCTTACGCAGCATCCCAATTCTTTAGCTAACTTAATAACTTTAGCTAGCTAAGTGAATAGTTGGTGAATAGTTAGTCTTATTCATTAGCATTACTGGCCAAATCCTGGCCCAGATGCTGGAGGAGATGGCGACCACACAGCAGTTGCGGGACCAGGCAGACCTGGGGTTCTCGGGGCTGGTGGAGTACTTCCTGTTGGTGCCTGGGTTTGCGGACCTGACCAACCCCAAGGGCCGTCTCACTTTTTGGTCTTGGGGCGCAGGCAGGATGCGATCACTGCTGTTTTCTCTGCCCACCCCACAAGTGGTACCCCAGATACTGTACCTCCCTCCATCCAACTGCACACTCACTGTGCATCATTGCTAACTAGCTAGCAACAAGCCTCTA